ATGGAAAGAGATTTGTTCAATGAAATATATATTTTTCACATGAACGTTTTTATTTTATTTTTTGGGTTATTCAATGAAAGGCTGGCCCTTTTTAGTTGAGGCAGGCTAGGCACACAGATCACAAAGGGAAGTTGGTGATACAGTAAAATGTTCTAAAAGAAAAACAAATATAGTGGATAAATATATCGATTAAATTTAAAATTCAGAGGAAATTGCTCAGAATAATGCACAGCATGTGTGTTTGGTCAGAAGTATTCAGAATGCTCAGTCACAACTCACAATGTTTATGAGAAGGGGGAAAAAATCAACTTCATCCAACAACAAAAAATCAATAAAAGAAAGAAAAAAATCCATCTCTTCCATTTTCTTTGTAGTGAAGAAATCTTAGCATATTATGGTTTGGTGGACACCTGTTTGAAGATATAGACCCCTCATATCTTCCTTTTCAATCATTTTACAGTTACAAAATCCCTCACATCTTCCTTCTCAATTATCTAACAGTATATTACTATTTTTGTAATGAAAAACAATTGTTTGTCGAAAGTATAGTAAATGGTAATCCCTTTCAATAATAATGACCATAAAGAAGAGTCAAGATATACGATTTGATTGACATTTCTTATAGTCGATACTATAGTGTCAATAATGACGTTAATATAATTTAAATTAGAAAATAGCATCATGTTTAAAGATAATATTTTTCAGTATCTAATTCCATTCAGGGTATTAATCGTTTTAACTAGCTTTTAATCAATGAACAATATTCTATCACTTTCAAATAAAAAGTACGAGTAAAATTCGACCATCCAACACTAATCGAACATTCCTCAATAATGAATAGTTTATGTGCAAGGGTTTTTATCTAAAAAATTGGATTTGCATGAAAAATCAACTAATCAGTTGATTTTTGCATGAGATATCGATTGATTTTTCATCTACTAAAATAAAAATTCTAGATATTCATCTATAGAAAAAGAGCTAGCTAGATTGACCAGTTTCCCCTCTTCTATAGGACAGGGCAGAAAATGGCTAAAGTCAAACACAATTCATTGGTACATTTTCAATAATCTATATATCCTTTTTTTTTTTTTTGACGAATCTATATATATCCTTCTGTAACAGCATGTTGCAGCACTATATAGTTGCCGCCCAACATAGATAGAAGAGCTAGAAAGAAAAGATGTTTCTAGCTTGTCAAGCTATACCCTAATCAATCAAGAATCAAAACTCATAACTCATAAGATATTAGTACTTTATCGAATGGGTCAATTACAACATGGTGCTTGGGAGAAATTGGTCATGCCCGGACTCTCATGTGTCGGGTTTAATCGTCACCAATAGTATTTTGTGATAGTTGTACAACAAATACAAAATTTGTAGACACTGGTGCTATTTGCGTTGGTGATTTTCAACCGTGTGCTCACATGAAAAAAATTGAGTATCATAAGTGTTGATACTTGATATTCTCACTGATCTTTGAGGATTATGGTTCTAACATCTCCCAACGAACTTGATACTATGATTTCTCACATAATAAAGTAATATAAGCAACACAAAAGCATGGTTAACTTATTTGCAATCTAACCAACATCCACAAAAAGCAGAATTTATCATACATTTGCTATGCAAATTTAATTTTTAAGCATATTTTAATAGGAGTATACAAACAACGATGAACAAAATATACACATAAAAATTTCCTTAACGAAGGCCTCTACAACCTCAAATATAACCACATGCTTCTATCAACCACAAATTAAATCCACCCATTTGGAAAATACGTGTGTTCTAAACATTAAGGAGGCTGTCTCCATGGACATGATTGTATTTGTGTGCTTCCTCAAGGTTGAACTTGAGAACCATACCACTCCTATGCAAAATCTATATTTGATTAATGAATAGGTGCAAATTTCAAGGTCGATAATACTGGCTTTATTCTAATTGAACCTGTTATATCAGATTTTACAGATAACATTACGTAAAATATAATAAACATTATATAATGATTATGTAACGTATGTTTATCTTAATTCTTACATAACAATTGTAAAATGTTATTAAGAAAATTTTACATAGTAACGAGGACTAACAATAAACGGTTTATCTGTTAATTTTGCAGCATAAAAATGGGTGTGGGTTAAATTGAATCATCCATGCCCTCCTGAAAGCAAAGAGACCAAAGAAATTGAAAGCTGGAAGGGAACCACTTACCTCATCAATGGTGTAGAATAAAACTCTTCCTCATGGTGGCACTTGCCCCTCACTGACACTTCACCCCTGCCTGCCAACAAACTTTTTTTTTCCAGAGGGCCAAAAAGAAAGAGAAAAGGAAGGCACGTCTCTGCTTTAAATAGCTAGCAAACAAGTGAGACCATCCATTGAACCAATGGTCTTTCACTTGCTCCATTATAGGCCATCTTTTTCATCAGCGGCCGAAAACTCCATCAAAAAGATTATTGTACCGGCCTCAGTGCCACGGCCACCCTTTGTTCTTTCTTGCCCAGACTTACCTCGCCCCATTCTTCAGTTTTTGCCAAGGCCATAACCAGACAACAGAGTAATGCTCTTCTTCTGCTCTCGTATCATCAACACCACGACAACCCATGAATCGAGTTCTAGAGATGAGAAAAGTTTCATCACTTTGGGACATGAGTAACAGAAAGCAATGACATTCCCATCACTTTTTCTTCCTTTTTTTGCAGTCTCCAATGGCATGCACTTGTCAGTGTTTTGACAATTGTTTCCCCAAAAGGACGGTTGGTACTACTTATTAGGGTTTGTTAATTGATCTACGAGTTGTGTGTGGATTTCTGATTATTTCGGATAGTTCGAGCTGCCGATAGAGTTTTCAATAAATATGATACGTATAATCTTATTGCCAAAGTTATAAATCGAGTATGAAGTGAACTTGCACGCTAACCTCTAGGCTTAGGCCTCGAGTGTATTATTAGGCTGGACCTATGCCTCAAATCTCGCAAAATAGGGCATCGATCCTTTGATCCCACGCTATGGGATGCATAACATTATCAAAACGATCTCGAGAGTTTTTGACATATTTTGAGCGTGGACTGAAATTTCCCAACTACCAACTCGACTATGTATACCAACCCAAGGTTCCAACCCCAAGCATTGCAACTAGCGATTTTCCAACATCCTCGAGCTCAGCCCAATCAATTATAATGCTTAACCTATAAAATTTCGAACTTTTTAATATTACCGAACAAACTTCACATCCTAAAAGGACGATAAACAACCACATCATCATAATAACACGATGAATTCACGCCCCCCACAAATCGCATTTTGTAGTTGAAATAAGATCACAAAGAGATTTTGATGAATCAACAAATATACGCATGGAACGATCATTAGAAAGAGCCAAAGAGGGGCAAGGAACTACTGAAGGAATTGAAATGTGTCACATAATAGTGACAAAGATTGCTACAACCCACCTCACCTCACCTCCCTTCCAAAGTAGATATTTGGGCAGCAGCTAGCTTAGCTTAGCTTAGCTTCTTCACAGTACCATATAACGACAGCGGCACTCATTCCCAAGTTCATGATGTGGTGAAGGAAGGAAAGAAGAGAGAAGATTCACCAAAAGCCAGGCAGCTCAACATTAAAGACAAAACAAAAACCATCCCTCTCTTCAATCCTCTTACACCTTTGCCCTACCTTCTCTTTTCTAATTCTTTAATTTCTGTGTTTTTTCATTGAATCCTATTTTGATTTTTCATGCACAAAAACAATACTTACCGACTTATGGAGCTGATTCAATTGTAAAGTGTTTAGGGATAAATGTACCACCTTTCACATGTGTACTACAATTTTCCCCCAAATAAATATATGTATAATTTGTGATTTTTTTTGCTCAAAAAACTGTCCCTTAATATTGAGACACATATCTACAAGTACATGCATTTGTCAATCTTATTTAGAATGAATTGGGTAGAATGGAGAGAGTACTGATAAAGGAATTTTCTCAATACATCTTCTGTTTTAGCCTATCTAAAATATAATTAAGTAAAATTGAACGAAAAAAATGCAAGTAAAAACATTGACTAGGCACGATCCAATATAATTTATAGGGGTCGTTTGCATGAATTATTTATAGAACCAGTCATTTGCTAAAGTGTAAACATTTGAGAAATATAGATATTTGAGAATGTAGACATTTGCGAATGTATTGTTTGTTTAACAATTTTTAGTTAAGTCATTTGTATAATATTATCATTTTTTCTTTACATTTAATATTTCATTATCTTGTTTCCTATCCTCATAAAACCAACCACGTAATAAATCTATTTTCAACCAACAAAACATATGATTACGAGTCATATATAGTACTTTATAAGTTTAAATAATATTTTTAAGTTAAATATTTTCATAATAGGTAACGACTCCATAAGTCTCACATAGGATAAATTAAGACTCATTCTTGAAGGCAGTAGCTCCGATGACACTAGGAGCTAGAGTCACGAGAAAATGATGCAGACAATAAGATGGATTACCCTCCTCACGGCTTGTGAAATTTGGCGGAAATAACAAAAATTCGATGGTACACGAATGATAGGGTAAATAATTAATAGAAAGAGAATGATAAAAGTGGACTTATGAAAAAATGACAATGTCATAAATGGAAAGATTGAGCTAAAATAATGAGTCATTTGGAAATGACTCATAAATAGTTGGCATTTGAAAATGACTCAATATAATCATTTGAAACTTTTATATGAGCCAAATAAATCATGCGATTTTTTTATCGAATAAATAATTTGGTACAAAATTAGTCAATTAACTCATTTGTTATCAAATAACTCAAACAAAAGAGCATATTGGTTAAACATCGTAATTACAACATAGCACATTAAATTCTCAATATCCAAATATTGATTTTATTTATTTTATTAAAAATATTGTCAGGGAATTAGATAGTGAGAGAAAATAGCAGCGGCAACAACAAAGGTATAGCTATAGCCTGGCAGCAGAAATATATAGCAGGCGTCTTGAGGCCTGAGAGAAGAGAGCAGCAGCAGCAAGCAAGCTAAGCTATCTAGCACTGAGCACTCACTCAGACCAAATATAAAAGAGGACAAATTATATAGCCATTCCCCATTAGCTATAGCAACCAATAACCCTTATATAAGATTTGGCTTCATTTTCTCTTCCCTTTCTCTTCCTGTGTTCCTTCATTCCCCTTCCGTGTCCCACTCATCAATAGTCACAGACAAAGCTGTTGATCATCAGCTTTCTTCCTTCTTCTTAATTAGTTTTGCTTCTTTCCTTTTCACTTTCCCTATTTTGGTCCCCCGGAAGAAGTTCAACATGTTGAGTAATGCAAGAGCAGGAAATAGGGCATCTTCTTGTTCTTCTCCATTCACAGCAACACAGTGGCAAGAACTGGAGCACCAAGCTCTCATCTACAAGTACATGGTCTCTGGTGTCCCCATTCCTCCTGAGCTCCTTTTCTCCGTCAAGAGAAGCATCGACTCCTCCCTTGCTTCAAGTAAACTATCAACCCCAAGTTCTTCATTTCCATGTGCATATCTTTTAGCTTGCATATAGCTACAAAAAAAAGGAAGAAAAAACCCGCTGAAAGTACAGGTTTTTTTTGTGAAAGTTGAGATCTTTTGGATGTTTTTGGCAGTGGGGTGGGTTGTTTTCAAGTGGGTTTTGGTTTATAATCATGGGTTCAATCCGATTCGAATAGGGCAGCAATGAGAACTGAGAAGTAGATATCTCTATAAGAAATCCGTCGCAAAAGGTGATAAATCCGTCGCAAAAGCTTCTGCAATGGTTTTGTTGTGTGTTTGCGATGGCTTCGGGGACCAATTTATTTGGTGATGATAGAAATGCTTCTTCTTATGTAGCTTCTCCAAATTGATTAAACTTTTACTGATAAAGTTGGGGCCTTTTTTGGGTGTGTGGGTTACTGTGGCAGTTGGGTGGGGATGTTTTCAGGTGGGTTTTGGTAAAAAGGGAGACCCAGAGCCAGGAAGGTGCAGAAGAACTGATGGCAAGAAATGGAGGTGCGCCAAAGAAGCATACCCTGGCTCCAAATACTGTGACAGACACATGCATAGAGGGAAAAACCGTTCAAGAAAGCCTGTGGAAATCTCTTCTTCTTCATCTTCTCCTTCCACTACCACAAATACTCCCAGAACTTCACCTATTGGTAACACCACTACAAGCAATAACAACTATTACCACAATCCTTACCTTACAACCTACAACAATCCTTCACTGATCAACCCTTTATCTATTTCCTCATCTACATCATCATCACTAGATTCTGATGTCCACCAGCAGCAAGGCCCTCTCAATGGCCAAAACTTTCTCAATAGTACTTTCCTTTATAACAACAGTAGTAATAGCTCTTCTTGCTCTAATTCTTCTTCTTGTTGTAAGACCACCACTGCTCCAAATCTGTTCATGGATTCTCTCTCTTCCTCTCATCATCACCATCCTGCCTCTGACAAAGACTACAGGTATCTACTTAAAACATTGCTAATAGTACTTAAAACGGTTTATTGGGTCTGTTACAAGCATTGAAGTCATTCTGTTAAAGGGATTTTTGTCTTGATTATGTTGTGATTGTGATTAATTAACCTTATTTTACTTGCTGTGTCCCACCCAAAACAAAATTACAAAAAGGTACCTCCAAGGAGTGAGAGAGGATCAGCAACTTAATCACCATCAATATGGGTCATCACCACAACCAGAGTTTGACAACTTTTACTCATATCCATCATCAAAACAAGATTATCATCACCAGCAGGAACAGCATTGTTTTGTCTTGGGAGCTGATTTCAAGTCATCATCATCATCAATTTCAGCAATTACTAACAGGCCATTGATCAAGGTGGAAGAGGGTAGCAGTGACAGCAAAGAGATGTCCTCATCATCCCACAAGCCAATGCACCATTTCTTTGGACTTGGTGGTGGTGCTGCAGACTCTTGGCTTGATCTTGCATCAAGCTCAAGGCTCTCCTAATGGTATATAAGTGTCTAACTACAGTTGCAGTATCAACTAATCAGACCAATCATTCATTATTGATAAAAAGGGTCACACAGTTTAAAATGTTTGTTGGTTTCTTGTTGATGGTCTGCAGGGAGCATTGATGGATCTTTTTAGCTTTATTGGTGGTGCCAAAAGAGTACTTGTTGGGTGGGTGATAATATGATAATGTGTGGGTTTTGAGAACTTGTGGCTGGGGAGCAAAATTTGGGGTTTCTTCTTCTGTTGAGCTGCAGTGTTGTTTTGGATTTAATAATGTAGGGTCAGCAAAGAAAGAAAGCAGCAGCAGCTTCTTCTTTCTTGTTTCTGCTTTCATTTTTACTTTGTGAGAGGAGGGTACTGTTCTGTCTGTTTGTTATCAGCTGGGAGAAATGAAAGATCCTTTCTTCATAAATGTAAATCATCATTATGTCAACTTGTATGCAAAAAAGAAAAATCTTGCTGCCCATAAGGAAAAGAAACACAAGTTTGGGGTTTGCTAGGTTTTGGCTGATGTAGATATGAATTGAATCTATTAAGATTAATATTAATATCGTAGGGATTATCTTGTTGAGATGATTCGTTCTCGATATAGTATCAAACCTTCTGGCTAAAATATCTCATGTTTAAATTTTCATGAGTCTCGAGAATGGATTTGTGCATAACTCAAGTTTGTAACAAGTGACTTCATTTGAGCAATGTGTGAAGGGACATTGCATAAGGTTCGTAACTGAAACTCTTTTAATCACTCCGAACTGAACCGTGTAGGAAAAACTCTTCGTCAAGAACAGTACTGGTACCATATCAAAATTGAATTCATATAATCCCCCCACATCTTTGAACTGAAAGAGTAGGTAAGTTTCCAATACGTGAAGAAGATAAGTAGGCCAGGGCAAGCAGTCCACTACTCCACTGCATCTGCATGACCAGATATATACCTTCCCCATATGGTCTTGCCTGGGATTTTCAGACAGCCTTCATACTTCCTTCCTGACGCCCAAAGAGTAAGACAAACGAGTGGGGTGGGGTGGGAACTGGCGGGACATATGGGGAACAAACCAATCTTCATATCAGCAAAGATTGATTCTTATTGAACTTCCAGCAACCATTGATACAGATTCTTCATCTTCTAACTTTATTTGGGATTTCCCTTTTGAATGATATCAGTTCTTTTCAGTTCGATTTGATGAGCATGGAAATGCTGGAAAAGGTGCAAAGCAATGTCTTTTTGGTGCTGTCATTCATTCATTCATACATTCAAAACGACAAGTCATTTCCATGACAGCTGCTTTCAACTGCCACTATAATTGCACTATTACTGGCTAATGGCTCTTGCCCAGCCTAGCAGGTAGAGGGGCCAACATGTCATATTTTAGTGGACAGCAGTTTTACAACACGCGTTCATGGCTAAGTACTTCATTCATTCATTCATGCAGCTCAGTGGGAAACTGACTGATTCACCAGATAACTATTATTAATATTACATCCTTGTCAAAGGAATTATATGGCGATCAAGCTCATATTGAGATTCCACAAACACCCATGTCAAACACAGCAAGGAACCACAAAGAATCCAAAAATCCACCTCAGCTCATCCAATCCCATAGATTTACAAAGAACACGACAAATGACAACACCAAATGATGTTTGCTTCTTATTGTTGCTAGTCAACAAATAACGCATTCCCCAAATTGGCACAAATCACAATTTCTGGACTTTTCCCACTCCGTTTATCTGGACTTTTTCTGCACAAGTTTGTCATGTCAACCACCAGGACTTCTTGCATAAGAGGTGTGGCTTATTTATGATCCCCTTCCCTGGCTGGTCCAGTTCGGATAAACCCACACTGACTCTACCAGTAGATCAAACCTTATGAATTCAACCAGTAACCCCAAGTGACATGAGTTGTATTGACCTGCAGCCACATCTAGCTGAACCCCCCAAATCGAAACGACCTAACCGGAATGAACCCCTATTAACTTGTCTAGCCCACACTGTCAGGGGTTAGATCAAACACTATTACTCCAAATTGACCTAAGCCACAATGACCTATAACTCAAAATAAACTGCAATTACCCACAACCTAAATTGACCCGAGCTGATGACCTGGTTTGTCCAGGCAAACTTTTACATGACTTTAGAAAGGAAAAACTAGCATGCATTTTCTACTTCTATGCCAAGTGGCCTTCTGAACGGAGCAAGATGCAGCCTCCAACCTTATGAACAATCATAGCCTACCCCACCGAAGTTTTGATGTCATGCAACCAGCTTGCTCAACTTGTTTTACTTCAAGATATTTGCCCATGGTTAAATTACAAGCAAGAGTCTAGAGCTAAAAATGAGTACCCCTTTTCATGGCGCATGACTTAGGATTAGCCATATAGCACGAATTGACAGAGGTGATGACCAAGAGGAACAGACTATAAAACTACCTACTATTTAACTACTGCAAATGCATCAGCAACAGACTCACAGACATGATAGATAAAAGGTTATGCTGCTTCAGATTCAAAAAGCAAGCTCGCACCGTATCAGAATACAGATGAGCGAACCTACTTATGAACAAAGGTTCCAATATAGATGAGCACTTTAGAAGACATCCAAAGAGGTTTGGAGATTCCCCACACTGAAACTGAAAATTGCAAGCACCATTACGAACCTATCGACAAACTAATTTGCCTAGGAAGACTGCAACTCGTGATAACGATATATATAACCATTTCCAGCCAAAGCTGGCTAATACGCTATATCCAGAACTAGCAAGCAACATCGAACAAAAGAAACAGCCAACACTCTCCAAGTGATGAAAAAGAGACTGTTCTGCGAGCTTGAATTCAACATTGCACTACCTCGGAAATATCAAAACAGAAACATGAACATCTGCAACCAATTAATGATACTAGCAGTAGCAGAAATGTAAAGCTTAACAAAGAAGGCACTATCAATGACCAATCTTCACATTCCCTTCATTCATTTCCTGAGACATAATAGAATCGAGATTAACCGATATAATACAAGGAAGACAGAGAGTTAACTTCACTTTGCATTATAGGCTTGTGTAACGATCAAACAAGATCAAGGGAAGAAAATTCAGTTAAAGTAACAATCAAATGAAGGGAAAATGCCAATCACCTATTACCCCAATTTTGCTCTTTTTTTTACATAGACAAACCTCATTGGACCCATATAGACAAACCTTCCCTTCCTCCTCACAAACTCTGCTAACATTGATCATCAATCCACAACCACCACCACCACCATAACCACCAAAAGAATCTCAAACAAAAGAATTTTCCAACAAGTAGTATTGCCCCCGCCTCTCCAAAGAATCAAATGATGATATATGAACTTGAACTTGAAAGAAGAAGAAATATAAATAATCATTTAAAGGTAAGGAAAATGAAAAGAAAACCTTATGAGACAGAGTAAGGTTCATATCTATCTTTGATTAGCTGCTTTCTCTTGAAAACCAAGAACCCAATAACACCTACTTGCAAGATAGCTGCAACTCCCGCGAAAACCAATCCGATCATCTTCCCGGGGTTCATCTTCTTGCGCTTGTGCTTTTTCTGCAGCGGCGGCGGCAGATGATGATGGTGGTGTTTCTTCTGCTGTTTTTCATCGCTGTCAGAGGACGAGGAGGTGGAGGTGGATTTGCCATTGCTGTCCAGGGGCGGTGGCGGTGGCTGTTCATAAGCTTGTTTCTCGGCTTTCAACTTAGGTGGCGGCGGCGGTGGAGATGACGACGATTTCTTGCTATCAGACGGCGGTGGCGGTGATTCAGAGCTATCGTTAGATACAACGTGGTACGACTCAACAAAGGCCGCAAAGAAGGCGGTAAAGGCAACCCCAAGGATCACGAAGGCCAAGCATGGAGATCGAGTCTCCATGAATGTTTCCCCCAAAAGCGAAAACTAGCTTCCAAGTGATTTTATCTTCGCATCCGGATTCTGATCCCCAAACATTCAAAAGATCGAGACTTTCAGAAACCCACCACGAATCTCCAGCTTCTCAGAACTGATTTCCCTCTAATCTTGAAGCACCCGATTCGAAACAAATCAAGCCGGCCCCAAATCACCGATTCTAGGGTTCCGGCGACCGACAGACACAGAGCGTAGCGATTCGATTCGGAAGAAAAACTCCTAATCAGAAACGAAATTGGTCTCAAATGTTCAAACGGGGTATCGCAAGATTAGTCCCAAACCAACGATTTGGGACTCGGAAGTCAAACTTGCTCGAATTTTCATTCAAGGGTCGAGTAGAGGAGAGGCAGAGATATCGTGGCGGAGAAAAAAACTGGAAAATAAATTCCCTTCCCTCCTCTTTCTAGGAAAATTCGAAGGGGGAAGGCGAAGGGAGGAGAAAGAGAAGGAAAAGATTGTTCGAGGGAATTAAAATTGAAAAGAAGAATCAAGCAAATGACCGAAAGGAACCAAGGGGAAAATTAGTGGTTGCAACACCTTATCAATGGCGGAAATAGATGGCTAAATCCGGAGATTGCAGATCAGATTTTCCGTTGTGGGGTTTGAGAATTGGGGGAAGGTTGTTTGTTTGATTGGATTCTCTGGTTCTTTCCCTCTAGTAAAAAGAGAATCTTTGAGCTGGGTCTGTTTTTTCTCTTCCTGCGCGTAGTTGAAAGAGGGAGGAGAGAGCAGCCGGTTAGAGAGAGAGGGACGGAGGATTTCGTGGGGAATTTTGGCCGGAAACGGCAAATCAACGACTTGCGGGTGGAGCAAGGTTGTCAACCCGCGGGTCGACCCGCGGGTTGACCCACTTTGACCCTGACCCGGTGAGAAAAACGGGCCGCACGCACCCGCCGGGTCGACCGCTACAAGGTACCGGGTTGGAGGTCAAATTGTATCATTTTTTTCTTTGTTTTGCGAAATGCGCCTATTTTCCGATTTTTCTTTTCGCCTACCTCAATCTTTGGAATCCTAAGTTGAACATTTGAATATTAATGTTATATAAGTCTGTGTGAATTTTCATTATATGTTGAATCTAAGTACGAAATGTTATTTTGGTGTAATATTATATGTTATAACTCATATGTTAGATGAGATTTGATATAATTTATCAGGATAAGTACAATATAATGACGCTTTCCATATTTCCGGGCTAAACCGGGCTAAAACGGGTGACCCATTGACCCTTGACCCACTAGCTCAACCGGGTCCGGGTCAACCCGCGGGTTGACAACCTTGGGGTGGAGAGAAACTAAACGGCGGGCTTGTTTTTGCCTTTTTTGGCGGGTTTCTAAGATAGACGGGCTGGGCCGAGTCCATGGGCTGATCGTTCTTCATGTATAAGTATGTCCATTGTCGAGAGGAGTCTTTTGCTAGAGTGCTTGGGCTGGGCTGGGTAGTGCCTCTCCTCCTGGACTTATTGCGATAAAAGCCCAGTTTGCAATCTCGTTTGGGCCATATCTGGAGGAAGTGAGGAACAGAGGGAGGGGGCAAGGCAATTCCTCTCTGCCGGTTCTATAATTTCATACCGCCATTTCTATCATCTGGGGACTTTAAACTTTTTACATGTGGATCAAAACAGGAGTGGAAGAATAATACGATTATGTATGAGAAACTCATTATGTATACATAGTTTGTACTTGGTACAAATTACAAAAGACGAGGGTAAACGAAAACAACTGCTTCCATCAACATAGATCTGATCATAATCTTCAGCCTACAAACTCTATCTACAGATTCTATTCCTTGCTTGTATGAATGAATCCTACAAAAGCACAAACTGAGTAATTACATATACGATCGAGAAATACAAATAACGTGTGAAAAATGGTGCGCAGATTGAACAGTTTCGTCATATCTCTCGGACTTTGAGATGCAGATAATGCAGATGTCCAGGTTTCTCGAGTTTTACTACAAGCAAGTAATATAAAGCAGAGGGGTGGGCGTGCCCCAATTACTTCCCATTTTTGGGAAGGAAGAGTATTTAACAACCCAATTACTAATGATTTAATAAATGTGAGTTAAGTCACTAAAGCGACCCCTTAATGACGCTTAACGGTCTTTTATGGCTAGAATTACTTCTCATTGTTGGGAATGAAGGGTATTTAACAATCCAATTACTAGTGGTTTAAATCCTTTGCAAAGGAAAGATTATTTTCTCCAATTAATTCGGTTGATTAATTTGAATGTCAGCCATAATTGCACACTTGATTCCCTCCAATGCAGCAGTGGCTTTTGTTTAGCCTTTTGCGGCGAGCTTTGCTTACTCTGAAAAAGGTTTACAATATCTACATCTCTCCTAAAATTAATTTTTTCATGTTAAATACGTAGAGTTAACGGCCTCAATTGATGCCCAATATGTCGAAGATATCAAGAGAGCATTCAACACTTATTCTTGAGATGCCCCCCAAGCCACTAAGTTGTGGATCTTAGTGGGATTGATGAACTTTATTGATTCCTCCCTGACTAATAAATTTAGTATATTGTGGCGACTTGTCATGATCCCTGAGATCTCCCCATTCCCCATTCTCCAGTGTTTCTGTTTACTTTGGAGAATCTCTAAGTCTATATTTAAAGTGATTTTTGAATTCTACCATCCTCATGTCCATTCCCTAGCCAGACATTTTAACCAGGTCCTTGAAGTCTCCTATTTACTCCACCCTCCTCCGTCCCCAGATCGCTCCTCCCAAATCCTCCTACCACCGCTTAGGTGCCTCCACTAGACGACTATTTTGAAGATCAACTTTGATGCAGCTGCTTGCATCTCAGAGTGCTCGCCCGGTCTTGTTATCCGTGGCTTAGACGGGCATGTGGTGTTGGCAGCCGGTTTGCGTCAAGAGGGAGTAGTCAACCCTTAATGCAGAGTTCCTAGCAGTAAGAGATGTTATCTCCTCATCGCCTCAAGATCATTGACTCACGTGATAGTGAAAGGTGATTGCGAGGTGGTCGCCAGCAAGATCCGACAAGGTGTTCTAGAATATTCCTTTGGAGGTTCGGTGCTCCGGGAGTGTCGTCAGATCCTAATCTCTTTGTCAATTTGTATAGAGTTTAGGGTGGTTCCTAGAGCCACCAACAGTGCTGACCATAAAGTGGCGCTTAAAACACTGCTTTTGTCTCTCTTAGAGTTAGAGTCTTTCGTCTTTTTTGGATGGCTTTAGTAGGGTGTGGCTTGTAAGGGATTCCTGGGTAGTTTTGTTAAGTAAATTATTGTCATGCATATGTGAAAATTTGTGTTCTTTAAGAAAATATGAAGTTTGTTTGATATTGTTTCTGAGAACGCTCATAACCCGAAATGACTTGTAATCCGACCCAAAACCGAATGGGTTGGGTCAATATTTGACCTGAAATCAACCAACCAAACATGACCCGACCCGTAACCGAAGTCCCCAACCCGAAATTACCCAACCCGACCCGATTGTCTGGTCTATTTGAGGTCCTGCTAATAGTAAGATAGCCTAGCGGTAGGGCTGGAGGTCGGTCGATTTTGGTTTAACCGAAAATTGAATTTTTTGGTTAACGGTTAACCAAACCACCTCCCAAACCTACCGACCACTGACCGAAAGAGAGCTCAAGACTTAGGTTATCCCGGTTTTTGGTTAACAAAATCGTCTTCCAAGATCAAAACCATCTCGTCCAGCCTCCGAACACCGACCGACTTTCGTTATCCTGGTTTCGGTTAGTGAATAACCGATCGGTTTTGGTTGTAATTGATGGGTTAACTGCTAATCGAAATCCAATTGTCCAGCCCTACCTAGCGATGTCGTCTCGGGGTAGGTTATCTCAGGATGTGTGAGGTCATGTTAATGGTAAAGATAGCCTAGTGGTGCTGTCGCGGGGTAGGCCCCCCGAAGCCCCGTGTGGTGTTACTGGATGCGTCTAGCTGCTGTGGGCGAAGCCCCCGTTGGCGCACTAAATTGCAGCAGGTGGCCCATAGGTCTGTCTCGCTCTGCCATCACAAAATGTGGTGTGTGCGTGGGATGTTCTTAGGTAATAAAAAAATGATTATGTTGTCAAATGTTTAATTCAAAAATCTTAGTTTTGAACTTTATAAGACACGAATTTATGGCTGTTATTGAGCCGAGTCGAGCCAAGCTTTGCCATAGTTCGGGCTCGGCTCGTTAATATATTTCCAGGCTCGAGCTCGGCTCGTGTTCGTCACGAGCTTTAATATGCAAGCTCAAGCTCGGCTCGTTTATGAAAATGAAAACTCGAGCTCGGCTCGTCAAATAAGTTTAACGATCCCAAATTCGAGTTCAGCTCATAAAATGTTCATGATAGCTCAAGATTGACCTAGAACTGCGCACAAAATTACATTCAAACCTGTAGCAAAGTCTAGCAAAGTAAAACACAATATTTATCCCAATTTCAATACATAAAATCCATGAATTCTAATCCTTTTTTTATGCCAAACCATTAAATGAACTTGTTCGCGAGCTTTCGAGCTGAGCATGGGGTGGCTCGAGTTCGGCTCGTTTAGTTAACGAGCTTGTTCGCGAGCCGGCTCGATTAAAACGAATCGAGTGTCGAACGAGTTTTTCTCGAGTCGCACACCAAGCCGTTCATGAGCGGTTTGGTTCATTAACAACCCTAGACACGATCATCTTCGTCTTTCTTCTCCATGACTATGAACACAATTTTGTAGAAATTCTATAGACTTTCATTGAGTTGTAGGGATTACCAAACCAAATAGAACTAAATTCTATTAATTATGAAATATAATATCATGACGAAA